CTTGATATTTTGCTCAATTCCTCTTCGAGATATAGAGTTTTTAAAAATTCGACTTTGAACAAGTAGGCTTTGAACGACGGCGGCTAAAATGCAAAAAAATCATAGCTGTGAGCAGCAATTAAAACGAAAATAATATTTGCAGTGAAAGATGCAGGATTTTATAACAATTTAAACTATATTTAACATCAACACGCGTAAACTATATATAATAACAATAAAAATAAATATTAAACCAAGACATGATATTTTGTTACAGGTGTTAAACATGTCGACTGGCTTCTGTTGTGGAAAGACAGGATTGTTTTAGAACATTTCTCGCGGAATTCATTAACTCAGTGGGGGTGAAAGATACCCTCGCATAACTGTTAAGTAATTCTAATTTTTGTCTAGATTATACGGGCAATTTAAAAATAAGAACCTTTCTTTTTGTGCAAAGATAAAAATCCGTAGGTACTAAATCCGGCGGCCTCGACGGCCAACGGCTGGGATCTTGGTTAGCTAGCCAATTATTCTCGAAATTGGCTGATAACTTCTAACAGCGTTCTGAGGCAGTGTCTCGTCTTGCTGGAAAAATATGTTTTTTAGTTCTATTAGGGGCAGATCATCAATAAGGGGTCCAAAGCCTACTAGTTAAAAGTGCGAACTTTTAAAAATTCTGTATTTGGAAGGAGACTATAGCGAAATATCAAGTGTGCTATATTTTTGAAAATGTAATTTTAAGTTCTTTTCAGTTAGTTAAAAATATACAGGGTGTCCGAAATAAAAAAATCAATTTTTCTGCTGATAATTCTTATGTTATTAATTTAAAAAAAAATATACTTAAACCATTAAATTTTACGTAAAAAGGTGCTTTGGGAATGTTTTCACAAAAATACAAAATTTTCCATGGCAAAAAAGTTCAGCGATTTGTTAAAAATGCAAATTTTTGAAAACACCCTGTAACTCATAAACGGTAACAGATATCGATGTGCGGTTTTCACCATTATCTTTTTGATAAAAATTGAGCTCCAAAAACCAATATTCGTTTTTGTCTATCTTCTATAGAAAAGGGTGTTTTTTTAAAAAGCTTCAAATTTGACTCACCCTGTTCTCTTTTTTTTAATTAGAGAAAAATAATTTTTGGGAGATAGATTTGTGTGTCTGGGAACGTTCTATCCTTTTTTAATAAATATATAATTAGTGTTATCTTTTGACATGTTAATTTTAAAAATGAAATGACGTCTATAGATTGGCGCCGCCAAAATTATCTTTAATTGCCATTCTCCAGCCGTTTTTTTATGACCACTGTATATTATGTTAAGCAAAAGATGAGAATTATGTTTTAGTCATGTCTCATGACTAATCTTACTGTAGGCTTGCCCAATAATTTTTTTCTTCTTCTTTATTATGTTAAGTATACTACCTTTGGTTTGAATAAATGGAAATTTAGTGTACTGTTTGCCATGATTTGTGCAAAAGTACTAAACCGATGACGTAACATGCATGTAAATTGAATGACCATTACGCTAAAAAATACTGCACCAAGAGCTAATCCTATTGGTTCGAGCTGTAGATAAGTTTTCATTATCATGATCTAGAATTATTAAAACAAAAATATAGATAATTGTTCCTAGAAAAGTATTTTTTTTTATTGTACCTCGTTTCCGTATGATGCTTTTGTATATGTAAAGTTTACACTTGGATTAAAGGGCCATTGGACATGTAGTAAATCTTTTCGCAATGTCATTAGGAATATTATTAACACGAAGAGTAAGTTCAGCATGAAAAACGTAATAACCATTTTATTTCGTAATTCCTTTAGTTCTTTACCAACTTTTTTCTGAAATTAAATTAAATTTATGAATGTCTAGAGCTACCAAATATCTGAAATTTTCACTCTCGGTAGGTGATAATAATAGTCTTAATAATGGTAATGTTAGTTCACTACAGAAAAATATGAAGGGTTTCTTAAAAATAAAATACATACTTATATTAAGTTAAATATTAATAATTAATTAGTTATTTCTTTCTATCAGGTATAATATTATTTCTAAAAACACAGGTGGACAGTTTCATGATCAGCTATAAAGATATTCTTGTGATGAGGAAAATAGCAAAATAAAACACTAATTCACCACAATACACAAAACACTCTACTTTCAACACTGGACGCGCATTTCGCTAGCAGTTTTAATCAGATGCAGATGATTAAAACATTTAGTTCGTGTATAGTGTTAAAAGTAAAATGTTTTTTTTTGGGGGGGTAACATCAAAGGTTTCAAACCAAAACTTTAATGAGAAAATATCTGAAATAATTTATGTTTTCATATTTATATATCTAGGGTGCCATATTTATACAGGGCGTCCCAGGCTGAGCGTGCATTAGAAGTTTCTAGAGAACTATAATATCTAGATCGGAGTTTTTTGCACATCATTGTTTCACAAGGAGATCTATCGCTTAAAAATATTTTCAATATGGCGGCACTTCCGGAAATACCGGAAGTTGACATTTTGAAGGAAAAACAACTGCCCCTCAAAAAACTTTGTATAGCCTAGAGTCAAATTTATTGATAACTGCAGCCACTGTGACATAAAGAGAAGACATGTGGCTACCTACTTCAAAAATTAAGTTATTCGAATGTCAAATGACATTGGCCGTAGCTGTCATGCGATTGAGCAATTAAAAAATTATCATACATCTTTTTTTTTTCAAATGGAAACCTACTTTTTTATTTCACTAGTGAAAAGGTTTTTCAATTCGTTACTTTTTGATTATACATGTTCCTATACCTAAAATAAATAGCTTTTAAGTTACTCAAGGAGTTTTAAAGCTAGTAAGTTTTTAAAATATATTTTTTTATTTTATCTAGCTTCCTTTGACATTAAGTGTCAAAAAAGAAGATTTATTTTCTTCTATCAGGAAACTAATTACACGAAATTCGTATATTATAAATACTGGTACTTACACAAATATATCTCGTATTTTCTCACTTTAGTGATATCTAAAAGTGGATATTATTAATAATATACCGTATGATCGAAAACAAGAACGTGGCAAAGTTGGCACGGAAATGCGATCGATGACAGTGATTCTTTAATAAAGTGTTAAAATATGACATGGCCAGATATATTGTTTAACATCGCTTGATGTTTAAAGTCATAGGCTACTGGTTAAAATCAAGAAAAATATACGCTTTAAAACTTAATATTAAATAACTATTTATTTTAGGTATAGGAACATGTATAATCAAAAAGTTGCCAAATTGAAAAACCTTTTCACTAGTAAAATAAAAAAATGGGGGATTCCATTTAAAAAAAAATGATTAATGACTATTTTTTAATCGTTCAATTCCATGACAGCTACGGCAAATATTTTTTGACATTCGAACAATTTAATTGTTGAAATAGATATCTACATGTCTTCTTTTTATGCCCCAGTGGCTGTGGTAATCACTAAATTTGACATTTAGGCTATACCATTTTTGACAGACAGTTTTTTCGTTCCAAATTTTAAATATTTTTTTTTTCTCAAAAACCGATAATGTTAGGTATAGAGATAGAGTGTTTGATATCAAAATTCATAATATTTTTACAGAGAATTAAATATGTAATAAATTATATTTGTATTAGGGTACTCATTTAAAATAAAAAAGTTGCTATCAACTTCCGGTATTTCCGAAAGTGCCGCCATATTGAAAATATTTTAATCGATAGATCTCGTTGTGAAACAATGATGTGCAAAAAACCTCTGATATCAATATTGTAGTTCTCTAGAAAATTCTAATGCACGCTCAGCCTGAGACACCATGTATATCGAATTTTGCCAATTTATTTGCCGAGAAAATTACTCCAGATGACACTGATATGTTTTAAATAAAATTTGCCATGAGAATTTACGAAGAACCAATGTAAAACGTTGGGACAATTACAAATTATTAACAAAAACATGGAACTAGTATACCTAAGAATTATGAAAATTTCTCTTACTTTATCATCTTGAGTGGGTTTTAGATATTTTTCTAACAACTCTTTCCAAAATATTTCTTCTTTCCTTTCCAGATAAGCGACATTTCCCTTGATCAAATCGCGGTGATAAAACCAGCTGTTATTATGGAGATTCTCTGAAGGAGCTTGAAATGATTGGCTGTCATCATAATGATCATAGTTATCGCACTCGCTCGGTTCTGGAAGGACGGACACTACAGAAGCTCTAGGACCTAGAAAACATTATACTGTTTGAGGAAAACGTTGCAAAGACCATAAATCTAATTCTATTTATTGTAGAAATATATAATCATATCTTAATAATTATTATAATTAATATTATTGAATATCACTTTAAAGTGGAGTCTAAGCGAAGAATCCTAAACAGAAGTTGGTATATTTTTCGTTTCATTTTCATAGAAAAAAAACTTTTTACATGAATTCTAGAAGTCGATCTTATATGAGTAAAACCATTTTTTTTTATTATTCTTGATTTTTTAAAGGGTTAAAATAAATATTAGACGTAGAAAAATGTTTATTATAATAATTTAATAGTCTTTCTTTCTAATGCAATGAACTTAATTTTTTGTCTGCTACTTTACATTTCATTAATTAAAAATTGTGTAAATTAAATAAAACCTGCAGAGTATTTTAAAAATTCCGACCGATTTTAAAAATTTCTCACACCCTTTTAATCAAAAGCAAAAATTAATTCAAGGAGACGAAACAAGTGAGTAAACAAAGTGCTCATTACACAATCAAAAAATTAAATAGAAATAGCCCCAATTATGATCCCACTAACAAAATCGGTACGTAATGCTATGCTCGCTACTGTAGTTGAACTCCCGCATCCCGCATCTAGGGTTGGAACCTTATTTTTCACAATAATTATTTACTCATTTTACTACAGCCGTAATATATTATATTTAGCTTAGATATGTTATCTTCTTTTTTTATTTCAGTAGTATACATAAAAGTTTTTAAAATAGTGTATTTTCTTCTACATAAATTTTCCTACATACTCAAAAACCGACAACACTGTATGCCGTTTTTATTTTGTCCCTCTGTCTGTCAACCGGTCATTTGTATTTATCTCTGTTGCATGCATTAAAATAGAGACCACGTAGATAATGTGCCCATGATAGTATAATATTCTTTGCAAACCTGTGGCAATATGCACATTAAATAATTAATATGTATCTACAAGACTTAAATACACTTAGCAACATTTACGGAAATATATGAAATCTTTAAAATATACAATGATTAGGGAATAAAGCCTGATAGTACTATTAATTAAAAAATGTACCTTCTACAATTGGTGTTCTCGTTTTGGAAATGTTGGTATTAATTGTCAGTGATTCTGGATGTAGGCTATTATTTTCTAGACAATCGATTCTTCTTTCTATTTGGTATGCTCTATGCTCTATGTTGGATAAGGAGTTGCTGATCATTATTAAGAGATTGGAGTTATTGCAACAGTCAGCAAAAAAGTCTCTTATTTTATAAATGGAAGATAGAATAATGGATAAATTGGTTTCTTTCTCTTCTTCTACTTCTTCTGTATTTTCTTCTGGATTAGTCTAAATATAACACGTAGGAAATTAGTTTAGTCCCTAACCGGCAAAAACATACTTACTGGTTTTACTTCAACGGTAACTTCCCTAGTTCCCCAACTTACATTGTTCATATTGAATACTGAATAAATAACTAAAAGCATATACATACTGGGAACAG